AAATAACAACTACTGATAACTCTGGAGAGCAAAGCAAACCCAAGGAGGTAAAAAAACCATGGGTTAAGTGGATGCCCTCACATCCAAAGGTGAGTGTGGCTTTAAACCAGTGTTAAGGAGCTTGTCCTTTATCAGAGAAGTACCCATGACTAAAGAATGCCTGATGGCTATGAGACTGTTTGAAGGTCAAAAAAAGATAGGATATTACAAGATACGCATGAAGTACTAACATCACCCACTCATCCATCCATCCAATACTCCTTGCTTCAATATATATTTACTGAGAACCTACACTATAACAGTCAATTTTCTGAATGCTGAGGATGAATAGGTGAGTAAGACAGAAAGGATGCTATTCTCATGGATCTTATATTCTAGTGAGAGAAACAAAAAACAGAAATATGCAATGTCAGGTAGTGATAAAAACCACACACACACACACACACACACACACAGTGGGATATTGTTGTTTGGGTGCTGTGGGGGTAATTTTCAACTCTTAGTAAACCTACGTGACAGAGCAGAATTGCCCCAAAGGGTTTTCTAGGTTGTTATCTTTATAGAAGTGTATTGACAGGTCTTTCTCTTATAAAGCCACTGGGGGGTTCAAACTGCCAACCTTTAGGGGAGCAGCCAAGAACTTTAACCATCGTACCACCAGGGCTCCTTAAAGTGGAAGAAGGGGCATACATTTCAGAGAGAGTGATTAGGGAAGGCCTTCTAAAAAGGAGACATTTTACTAAGACTAAATGAAATGAAGGAGATATATGCAAATAGTTGCATGAAGAGTCTTCAAGGTAGAAGGAACAACAAATGGGAAGCAGCAAAAATAGGACAGTGCTTGGCATAATCAGGAAATAGTATATGCAAATAGTTGCATGAAGAGTCTTCAAGGTAGAAGGAACATCAAATGGGAAGCAGCAAAAATAGGACAGTGCTTGGCATAATCAGGAAATAGTATGACCACAGTAACTGAAGAAGTGTAGTAGGAAATGATGTCAACTCATATTAGATAATAAGATTAGCTAAAAAAGCATGACTGCAGGTAATTTTGACTATATACAATATGTGTGTCACAAGCTGGCCTAGAGCTTGAGTAAACTAATAAGGCATTATATCATAATGCAGTATGTTACTATATGACAATTCAATAACATTATGTTCTCCAAGTTGCACAACCATCAGCATTATCCAATTTTTTTTTTTTAAATCACTTTTAGCAGAAACTCACTATCCTTTAAGCAATACCTATTTTTCCCTCTCACCTGCCCCTGGTGGCCACTGGTGAACACTGGTATTCATGTATTTTCCTTTTCTGAATACTTCATACAAGTGAGATCATATAATGTTTACCCCTTTTGCATCTGACTTACTTCGGTCAGTGTAGTATTCTCAAGGTTCATCTATGTTGTAGCATGTATCAGAACTACATTTCCCTTTATGGCTAAATAATATTCTATTTTATGGATGTGCCAAATTTTGTTCATTCATTCACCTGTTGATGGACACTTGTGCTGTTTTTACCCTTTGGCTCCTGTGAATAATGCTGCAATAAACACTGGTGCACAAGTTAAAAAAAAAAAAGTTACCATATGATGAAAAAAGAAGGAAAATCAATATTTATAACTAACTGATGAGTCCCAAATCTGCGTCTCCAGTCATGGCTTTAAATCTAACTTCAGCATCTTATCTTCTCCATAGGCATTACCTAAGGAGCTCTGGTAGCTTAGTGCCTAAGGCACTTGACTGCTAACCAGAAAGCTGGCGGTTCAAACCCATCAGCCACTCCTCGGAAGGAAGATGGGGCAATCTACTTCTGTAGAGCTACCGCCTTGGAAACCCAAGGGGGG